GAGAAAGCTAATGTTATGTCGGAAAAAGTAGCTAGTGATATTAAAAATCTTACGAAGGATGTGTCTGAAGTATTAAAAGAAAAATATCATAATAGTAAAAATAGTTTATTGTGGAATCAAAATATACAAGAAAAGATAAAAATAAGAAGTTTTATTATAAAAGCTTGTTTAGATGTAAAAATTTTGAAAACTGGGAAAGATATAAAGATGCTCGTGAGGAGTCTAAAGAAATATACGATGCAAAAATTTTAGATTTTAATGATTTATATAATAGATTAGATGCTAAGGAGAGTGAAAGATATATGTATAAGTAAGCCAAACAAAAAAATAGGACTAGTAAGGATTTAGTTCAAGTGAAGTGCATTAAGAATGAAGATAAAAAAGTGCTTTTATTAGAAGAGAATGTTCAACAAAGGTGGATTAGATATTTTGCTAAGCTTTTCAATGAAGGTTGTGAGAATATGATTGAATTTAGCGGCATTTAACACTCTAAATGATAATAGAGATTTTTTATTTTTTTCAGTGTATCAGTAAAACTGAAGTTAGATAGGCTTTAAAGGAAATGAAATGTGGAAAAGCTGTTGGACGTGATGATATTCTATTAGAGGTGTGGAAATGCTTAGGAGATGAAGAAATTTTTTGTCTTACTAAACTTTTTAATAATATTTTGAAGATTAAAAAAATACCATATGAGTGGAGAATGATTATGTTGATTCCTATTTTTAAGAATAAATGTCATGCACAAAATTGAGCGAATTATAGAGGAATTATGTTAATGTATAATACTTCAAGAAATGTATAGGAGAGAGTTATGGAGTATAGGTTACGACGTGATACTAATGTTTCTCAAAATCAAATTGGATTCATGCCGGGTAGGTCTACTATGGAAGCTATACATTTGTTGAGAGGTTTGATGGAGAAGTATAAAGAGAGTAAGGAGGATCTACATATGATATTTATTGATTTAGTGAAAACATATGACAAAGTTCCAAGAGAAGTACTTTGAAGAGTTCTAGAAAAGAAAGGGTTAATAGTGCTTATATTCAAGTCATTAAAGATATATATGCACGAGCTGTTACTTGTGTTCAAACACAAGGTGGTTTGACTAAGTATTTTCCTATTTTATTTGGATTACATCAATGATCAACCTTAAGCCCATATCTTTTTGTTTCAGTTATGGATGTTCTCACTAGACATTTACAAGTTGATATACCCTCGTGTATGCTTTTCGTTGATGATATTCTTGTTGCTGTTAAGATTAGAGAGAGTGTTGAAGGTAACCTTGAATTATAGAGGTCAATCCTAGAGTCCAAAGGTTTTCATTTGAATAGATCAAAAATTGAATACATGGTGTGTAATTTTAGTAGTGATAGATCTAGAGGGGGATTGTAACTTTGGGCGATCAAGTCATTGATAAGAGTACACATTTTAGATATATTGGGTCTATTGTTCAGAGTGATGGTGAAATAGATGGGGATATTATTAGTAGAATTTAAGTTGGATGGTTGAAGTGGAGAAATGTATCAGGCTTGTTGTGTGATATAAAAGTACCCCTAAAACTTAATGGAAAATTCTACAAGATGGTGTTGAGGCTTGCAATGCTTTATTGTTGGCCATTAAAAGAGAAGCGTAATATTAAGTTAAGCGTTGTAGAGATGAAGATAAGATACAAAACGAGCATATCCGTGAAAAGGTTGGAGTTGTTCCAATGACAGATAAGATTGGAGAGAGTCGCCTTAGATAGTTTGGTCACTTAAAATAGCGGCCTTTCGATGACTCGATTAGGAAAGTGGATGTATTAGATTTGGCTTATGTTAAGAAAGATAGAGGTAGACATAAAAAGACTTGGTTAGAAAATATTTGAAATTACCTTTCTTTATTAGATTTAAATGAAAATTTGACTCTCAACAAGACACAATGGAGAAAAATGATTCATGTAGCCGACCCCACATAGTGGGATAAAGGCTTGATATTGTTGTTGTTGTTGTTGCATCTTTGACTATATTTGATTGCGAGATTGACATTGAATGGCGGCACTAGGATTGATGATATCAAGAGGGATGCAAATGTCTGTAGCTTGGTTTGGTCAATGATGGAGATCGAATCGGTGGTGGTAATTGAGATTTGAGATATTGTGTTCCAGCACTGAAGTGAGTATGATGTGTGCCAACAACTATTGGATCTAGGAGATTATGTGAACAATGTATTTAGTCAAATTAGAACTAGTAATTAATGCTACTTGTGGAAATTAGTAGGGCTTGACAAGTAGATATGGTGCACAATAAGATTACCTCCCTTGGGGGTATAGTTGTATAAGATTATTGTTATAATTGAAGAGAAGTTTTACCTTCCTTGAGACTAAAAATAAAGCAAATCTCTCATATATCATTTTGAAATTTAGAGAATAGGAAAATAATTTAGGCTTTGCTTAGCATTCTTATCTTTTGTTGTGTTGAGTTGTGATGTATAGTGTTGTGATATGTTTTGTTGTGTTATTGATTGGAGTAGATGATTGTTTGATAAATTCATATTTAATTTATTATCTGAAGTGTTTTAAGGTTGTAGTTGTTTGGCAAAAAGTAGTTGTGACACTATTATGAATTGATTGAATGACTAAAAATAGATTTGTTATAATCTAGTAAATAATATATAAATAATTAAATTTAATTATTAATTGAATAATTCTGAAAGCTAAAACCCATAAATGCACTTTTCTATGAAGCTAACCTAAACTACCTTTCCATGAAAAAATATTTTTTCTGCTTTCATGCAATTAAGTTTCAAAATGCCAAAAATTATTTATGTTGTTTAGGAAAACTATGAAACACGGAAACTTGAAAAGCCTTTCATGTGTTGGCATTAACATTCCTTCAACAACTCTCAACATGTTTTTGACATGTTAATATTTAAAAACCGTGTTTTCTAGATGATGGTGAAGGTGCTTTTGAGGATAATATAAGTGTTGATATTGATGATGATTGTGATGCTTTATTTATTCTGATTAGTGATATTTCAATATGTTCATATCTTGTGTGGTTATTGTGAATATTATATATAATCTTTTTTGGGTTTTTGGTGTTTTGTGTATAAATACAATGTTAATATTGACAAAATCATGCCAAATTATTATGCTAATGTTAGTTTATTTTTGATAATTTAGTATACTTGATGAAATATTAAAATATAATTGTTGTTATATTAATGTTAGGTTTTCTTTTATTAATCGTAAGATTTTGTATGATACATATAAATACTCTATTATGTGATCTTTTTAATTTGAAAATATTAACCATAGATATTTTGATTATGCATTCTATATTAATAATCTATAAACGAAAATATTGTTTCATGGATGCATCATGCCATAATGTTTCTCAAAATCAAATTGGATTCATTCCGGGTAGGTCTTTGAATATATTCATTTATTGAAAGGGTTGATGGAGAAATTTAGAGAGAATTAGGAGGATCTACATATGCTATTTATTTATTTAGAGAAAGCATATGATAAAGTTCAAGAGAAGTGCTATGGAGAGTTCTAAAAAAAGGGTTAATAGTGCTTATATATAAGTCATTAGGGATATGTATGCAGGAGATGTTACTTGTGTTCAAAGACAAGGTGGTTTGACCAAGTATTTTCCTATTTCAGTTGGATTATATCAAGAATTAGCCTTAAGCCCTTATCTTTTTTGCTTTAGTATGGATGCTCTCACTAGACATTTGCAAGACGATGTACCTTGGTGCATACTTTTTGTTGATGATATTCTTCTTGTTGATAAGACTAGATAGGGAGTTGAAGGTTAACTCGAATTATGGAGGTTAACATTAGAGTCTATAAGTTTTCGTTTGAATATATCTAAAATCGAATACATGGAGTGTAATTTTAGTACTAATAAATCTAGTGGGGGGTTTGTGACTTTGAGCGATGAAGTCGTTAATAAGTGTACTCGTTTTATATATCTTGGGTCTATTGTTCAGAGTGATGGTGAAATAGATTGGGATATTATTAATAGAATTTAAGTTGGATGGTTGAAGTGGAGGAATGCTTTGGGTTTGTTGTGTGATAGAAATGTACCACTCAAACTTAAGGGAAAATTTTACAATATGGTGGTGAGACCTGCAATGCTTTATGGCGTAAAATGCTGGCCATTAAAAGAGAACCATAATGTTAAGTGAAGCGTTGTTGAGACGAGGATCTCAGGTGGATGAGTGGATTTACTCTTAGAGATAGGATACGAAATGAGCATATTCGTGAAAAGGTTGGAATTGTTACAGTGACAAATAAGATTAGAGAGAGCCACCTTAGATGGTTTGGTCATGTAAAACGGTGGCCTTCTGACAACCTTGTTAGGAGAGTAGTTGTATTAGATTTTGCCTATGTTAAGAAAGTAAGAGGTAGACCTAAAAAGACTTAGTTAGAAAATATTATAAATAACCGTTCTTTATTAGATTTAAATGAGAATTTGATTCTTAACAGGACATAATGGAGAAAAAAGATTCATGTAGCCAACCCCACATAGTGGGATAAAGGCTTGATGTTGTTGTTGTTGTGATGAGCTTGAGTAACAAGTGATATCTTTTATTTTTTGGCATGTTATATTTTGCTGATTATATTCTGTTAATGTGGCCTTTTTTTTTGTTTCAAGCTGATGTGAACCAAGAAAATTTTTTTCCCCATCTCTATTGACAAATAGGCTGTTGTATGTTTCACTTAATAGGCCTGCATTATTCTTTTGTAATTTTTCCAATGTGTTATGCTGCAAATTTTAATGATTATTAGTTCTTGAAGCATTGCGATTAAAACTATTCTAGAATTTCGATTTAACCATCTGGTTTTCACTGTTATATATGTTCGTTTTATTCCAAAAAGCTCATCAGGATGTAAATGCGTGATAACTTTTTAAAGCTTGTAGTGAACTTTTTTAAGTCCTTAAAATTTCATCTTTGGTGTTGTGGTCAAGATCCTCTTTCTTGTTATAAAAAATAAAGTTGTTTTCATGCAGAGTGGAGTCCCAGAGAAAACCGGGGATGTAGTCAGAGCAGTGTCTGATGTTGTGATCGATTCCCCATACAAGGTTCTAAGAACATTCTCCTCACAGATACTTGTTTAGCTTAAAGACTTGGTAGTTTATTGTGATGTGGCTATGGATTTATATCATGAGTTTACGTCCTGTTTAAATGAGATGTTCACTTTCTGCTGTTGCAGATTTTTGTTGGTGGAATTTCAGATATTCTGTCTTCCAAGATGGTAAGTTTTATCTTGCTTGGTGACGAACATCTAGATGTTTTCTATTAGTGCGTGGGCTCTTTCTTCGAGTCCGTAGTAAATGTTTGGTTCTCTTTGATATTTAGAAATTCCTTACGGTTCTGTTATGCATTTCTAGCTTATGGAAATTGCCAATGCTTTTGGGCCATTGAAGGCTTATCGCTTTGACTTCAGTAAGGAGCTCAATGGTCCTTGTGCCTTTTTAGAGGTATTTGTAGATGTTGAATCTAAGTAATTGCATAAATGTGAATGTTACCATATTCTTGTGTATTCCTCATGGCAGTATGAAGATCATTCAATTACTTCGAAGGCATGTGCTGGTCTTAATGGATTGATGCTGGGTGGCTTCATTCTTACTGCAGTCAGAGCTTTTCCTGATATCAATGTAAAGCTGTTTTGGTGCTCCGTTTTAAGTTTCTGTTACTTCAAGGCTGGTTGAGTTTATTTGCTGATGTGCTTCATTTGTAGGAGGATAATGCAAGACCTCCATCTTACGCTGTTCCTCCCCATGTAAAACCACTTCTCGCTAACGTTACACAAGTCCTTGGGCTTCATAATGTGGTAATCTTTCTTCTCAACATATATATAATGCCATTTTTTTTGTTTCTTCCATTGATTCATATTGTGTGATTTTCTTGGTATACCTGACAATTGCACTTATTTAAAATGCGAGTTAGATAACTCAGGAGGATTTCCATAATTGTTGCAGAAAGAGATTTGGAAAGTTCACAACAGCAGACTAATCTTTCTGAGACCTTTGAGCCAGGTTTTATTCTTGTGGAGTTTCAGAGGAAAGAAGCAGCTTGCAATGCAGCTCACTGTTTGCATGGCCGATCCTACGACGAACGGACGGTTGCAATTGAATATATCCCTCATGATGTTTACTTCAATAGATTCCCCAAATAAGCTTTTGCCAGGAAAAAAAATCATTAGATGAACTGTAAGATTGTACTGCAACTGCATTGATTATTATTGACATTTGTTAAATGAGATGCATTGCTTAGTGGAACATTATAATAGATTTTATTTTCAAAGAATATACAATTGTGTTCAATTTAATGTCTATTTATTGCTCTTATTAACTATTGATGCCGTCCACTGCTACTATACTAATTCAATTATCCATGTAACAGTTAAATAACCAGTTGTAGAATTCTGCCATGAGTTATTGTGGAGAATAAAAGGGATGCTTGCAGTAAAAGCTCTATTCTAGCAAAAAAGACATGCCATGTCCGTCCGACATAAAGCTCGGCAAGTTTAATGATTGCTGTATGTTCATTTGTTCAATTGAATCAAATGAATTTGAGAACTGTTTCATGATCCGACTGTTTCAACGGCCTAATATGATCTGATTATCATAAGCATCTGGGCAACTATACGTAGCTTTAAATGGAGAAAATGCTCAAGTTCAATGGATATAAAAGAAGTGGAACTTTATCAATTAAAGATTAAAAGATATGATGTAGACTATTAAACACTTTCATGAACATACTTTTGACTAAGGTTTCTGCTCTCTAAAGTAGCAGAAATTATGAATTAAAAAGCTAGTTTAGAAAGTAATAAGAAAGCCATCTCATGAAGCCCGAGCTTTGTTTAATTTAGGAAAAATCCTTCTATGAAAAAGTGGCACCATTTCTTTACATAAGAATTTACGTGCTTTTTTTAAAGGAAATTTTTTTTTTTTAAAAGAATTTACGTGCTTGAAGAGTGATAAATTTACTTTATTTTGCATAAACAATGGTATTAGCAGATGAGATATCTGACAATCAATTAGTTAGGTTAACAAGTTCATTAAAGACAACTTTCTATGGAAATGTTTTTAGTTAAAGCCACACAAGAATGAGTTTCATGTTCAAGTGATGAAATGACTAAATTTGGTGATCTAATGTTTTTTGCTATTATATTGGACTTTTTGACTTAGGAATTAGCGCTTCTCAATGAAATGACTTTCGAATTAGTCCTTAGATTTCACTTGTGACAGTCTTTTTTGTTGCTTCTTAAAGCAACTTTTTAGTAAAAAATAAAAAAATTTGTACTAAAAAAATATTTTGAGAAGTAATAAAAAAAGCCGTCCCAAACGAAGCCTCAATGAGTATTCAAATCTGCTAAAATTTTAGCACAAATCAATATTTTTTTTTTCCTCGAGATATCAAAATATGACATTTGAGCTTTTTTATTGCTTAGGTTTTTTAGTTTTTTAGTTCAACATAGATCTCATTTCATTTTTCTTTTCAAATGCTGGATCTTATGCCCTCTTGAAACATCTCTATCTTTGAGAATGCTTCTGAAAATGATATAGGAGATAGAAACGTCACCTTGTGGAAAGAAAGGCATCCAACATTTCATTTCCACGCTTTTAGCTATAGAGTGAGACAACTTCTCTAGGAAAAATTAAAATGAATAAGAATAAAGGGCTAAGGATACAATGAAGGCAAACTTCCCCTACGTATAGTGATTGATGCTTGTGCATCTCCATGTACAAAGAGGAATCAATAGTTTTTATAAAAGGAGGTGTACAATTATTTCTCATATCCTTTTGTTAGGCTAATACTAGCTACTTGATCTATAATGAAGTTTTTGGATTCATTAATCCCTACTTATTATCTGCCTTTATAGAGAAATTGAGAGCGGCAAAATTTTCTATGATGATAATATGCATAATCTAACGGTATCATTGCCTTTATGGACTCTAAAAGACTCATGAAGTCCCAGTTTTATCTCTCCCTCTTTTGAAGTTTTGGGATAACTTCATGAGTTTCAAAATTTAGATTTTTTTTCCTTTTGTTAAAACTTTTCAATAACTTATGGATAAAATTTATTTAAATGTAAGGAGCTGAGATTTCTCGTTTAAGACGTAATATATAACTACGCCTTCTTCCATATACAAATAAAATCCTCTTTAAATGGCAAAAAATAAGCATTACTTGAGATGATAAGAAGGGAAGTTCCAAGGTTTGTAAGGTATCAAAAAATTTTGTTTAGATCAAAGTTAATTAAGATCGAGGAGGAGAGAGAAAAGAGTAGATGAAAAAATTGTAGAGTGCTTAAAATAAATGAGAGAGTTTTCAAGTGGTTCAATCATCTTGACTTATGCCCATATGGTAATACACTAATTGGAGTTTTATTATTCACTTATGTGTTACAATGTAGGTTGTTCATATGAGAGAGAGAGAGAGAGAGAGAGAGAGAGAAATGTCAATAGTATGTATTTATGTTTAAAGTTATTTCATTTCATCCTAGCATAGACTTGTTGGCCAAATTGATGAAAGTGAGTGGTAACACCCTAGAGAAGGGATTAATCTGTGCTTTTAATTTAACTCAAAATTTACAACTTTTTGATTTTTTTTTGCACTCTTATGTTTTAGGATTTTAGAGAATGGTTATACTAAGTTTAGAATGAATAAACCATCCATTGAGTTATAAATTATTAGTCAATTATATAATATGATCAAATTATCATATGATATGAAGTTAAATCAACCTAAAAAAATTAAAAAAATTAAAAATAAGAAAAAATTAATCATTCAATATGATTAGTTATAACAAATGTGCATTAATTACTTTATTAATTTCTTAGCTTAGTTAGATTAAATTAAGAAGGTGATCATACAAGATGATATGCATCATATAATATAATTAAATTAAATTTTGATTTATTATAATTAGAAAATAATATTATAATGGAGTTTAATCTAAAACTAGGCCTGATCATATAATTAGTTAATAATAAATAATTTATAATTTTTTAACTTATTCAGGTTGATCTTACTTGAGTTCTCAATTAACTTTTATTATATTGTACGATCCATATTATACAATAAGATCTACTAGAGATTAATTTATATTTTTTAGAACTATTTTTCTCACTTGTGTGTGTTGGTTATTTCATAGATTCCTTCACCTAGTACTTCAAATAGAGTATTATATATATATATATATATATATATAATAAACCATTCAAGAAGAAACTCTTAGCATCCATTTGATATAATTTGAATCCTCTAAATATGCAAAGGCAAGCTTGAAAGTAATTAGACCTTAAGGAACTAGCCCAATGCATACTAATACAAAAGTAATACTATCACTTATACAGAAGCTAGTACACTTATCAAAAATTACAAAGTTTCTGATGATAGTTTAATAATTACAAGTTAATATTAACTACAGATTTTCAACCAAGCAGTTATAGTAGAAAATAAAATGTGGAAAAAAAAAATGCAGAAAATAAAATCAGGAAGAACACACCAGATTTTATAGTGATTCAGACAAACCATGACATACGTCCACTCCCCGGAGTCACCTATTATAGGTATTACACTATCGTTATTGTGTCTCTCCTTTGTCCCCGACAGCTAGGTAGAGAAGCCCTTACAAACTCTCTTTCACCAACCAAATGCAGCAAAGGATCATACTCCTTTCACATGCAGAGAATCATGATTCCTTTTCACCATCTTGGTGATGCTGAGAACTTGGACTCCTTTTTACCCTCTTAGTGAGACAGAGAACCTTGAATCACTTTCACCTTCCTCGGTGCGGCAAAGTAGCCAGGTCCTTTGACATCAAAGATATCTTCTTCTTCTCAAAACTTTCCTCAAGATAAACTTTAACTATGATTGTACTAAGGTACAAGCTTACCGGAGCATTTGTGTGAAACCCCCTCCACACTCCCTTGAAATTCACAATGATCTTCTCCCTCTCAAACTACACCCTTTTCTCTCCCCCCTTCAAGGCTCTCTCTTCAAGTTTTCTCTAGAAGAAAAATGATTCAATGCATGTCAAAGACACTCACAATTTCTAATGAGAAAGCTTAAATAGTAAAAGAATTATATTAAATAAATGTTAATATAATTCAGTAGACTTTCAAATTTATGCTTATTCTTATGCTTAATTCAGTAGACTTTCAAATTTAATTGAGAAAGCTTAATTCATATGCTTATGCTTATACTTCAGTAGACTTTCAAATTTATTTTTTAATAAGGCCATCTTATCATTCTCATCATTTCCTAAGCCATCTTTATCTATGTCTTTTACTTTTAGTGCTACAACATTTTCATCACCTGCATCCAAAAGTCTTTGACTCACACTTTACTCATAGACAATGAGTGAGCTGATCATATTATAAATATAATAAGCATTCAAGTCTTTTGATTCACATATAACAGTAACTTTAGCATCAAATTTATCAGGTAGACAACATAAAATTTTGTTGACCTTTTCTAAGTTTGAAAGTTCTCTACCTAAAGCATGCAATGACGTCACAATTTGAGTAAACCTAGTATACATGTCTAAGATAGTCTTATAAGATCTTATGTTAAAAAGTTCATAGTTATGCAATAATACATTTAATCTAAATTATTTAACTTCACTACTACCTTTATATATAATACATAATTTATCCCAAACTTCCTTGACAGTGATATAGTTAGAAACAATTATATAATATTTATAATTTAAAGCATAGAAAAAAAATTCAAGCATTTAACATTCAATTGAGCATTGATTTATTCTATTATATTATATTTTATTAGTAAAAGGAATATCAATTTTAGCTCCATCTACAACACGTGATGATAGAGAATAATCAGTTTAAATCATATGTCAATCAATTAATTATAAGAATATAGACATAAAAATTTTCCAAAAATCAAAATAAATATTTTTAAATAAAGGTGGCCACGTAATTAAATAGCCTTCCATAATGTTATGATTTTTAAAATGTGTCATTATCATTTTCTCTAGGTTTTCTAAAATACTATTTTAAGAATTAGCTTTGAAAGTTTGTGAAGGTTTTTAGACCTTAATGAACTAGTTTGAGGCACACTAATACAAAAGTAATACTATCATTTGATACGAAAGCTAGTACACTTATTAAAAGATAAAGATTGTGATGATAATATAATCAATATACTGTAATATTAATCACAGATTTTTAACCAAGCAATTATACTAAAAAATAAAATGCAGAAAAATAAACTGCAAAAAATAAAATCAGAAAGAACACACTAGATTTTATAGTGGTTCAGTCAAATCATGACCTACATCTACTTCTCGGAGTCACCCACTCTAGATATTGCACTATCAC